TTTCTACTAAGCTAAGGTTTAGTTAAGAGGCCTAATAATAGCACTTACTGCTAATATAGACCTGTCTTGTCTATATTAAATATATCCTCCTTTGTGTACTCTCTACACAGCGTTCTAATAGCCCTTATCTTCTGCTTAGCTTAGGCTAGCACAAAAGCAGCCTTACTGTGATGCTTATAGAGCTTAATATTATAACATTGCTTAAAGTTAGTAAGCTAGCCTACGTTAAACTCTAGTACAGAGAGGCTAACGTAATTAGGTATCTGCAGATAGATAGCCTTTGCTTTCTTAATAAGGATATTGCTAGAGACTCTGCTGCCAGAGCTTTTAAGGTGCTGCTGCCAGAGCTCTTAAGGTGCTGCTGCTAGTTAAAGAGGATAGCTTCTAGGATAGGCCACTATGCCTGCTGTTAAATTGCAGAGCACACTGCTGCTTATTAGTAATTGCTATACGTAGCATTTTCTTTTCTTAATATAACAATATTTAATTAAAAAGCCTATACTATAGTAAGTATTGCAAATTGTAAATTTCTAGTAGGAAATTAATTTAGGAGCTAAAACAATATCGCTATGTTAAGTTATTGTTATATCGCGCATCGCGCCATCGAGAGTTGACTGTACTTTGTGTGCGTACAGTTCGTTCATACACGCTAAAAACTCGCTTGAGCAGCCAAGCGTTAGAAATTAAAAGCAGAAAGTGTTGCGTTAGCTTTTAACTTTTTTGTATCTAGCTTAACTTTTTTATGTCTAGCTTAACTTTTGTATATGTAAGGTTATCTTTTAGCTACAAAGCTAGTATGTAAAAGGTAATAGCCCTGCAACAGAAGCAAGGGACGCAAATAGCAGCGTAGGTACATTTTAATTATAAATTAGGAGCATATCTAGCGCATTCTAGAATATAATTGCAATAAGCCTTTTTGTATCTAGAAACTTAACAATTTATATCTTTAATGTCTCCTAATACTGTACCTTCTCTTATGCCTTCTTTTACAGAAGTTATCTAGCAATACTACTGCCTAGTTAAGCAAGCTTAAACCTTAGTTAACAATCTTGCTATTAATACACAGGACCTTATTATTAAGGACAAGGACAAGGCCCTTGCTAAAGAGCGTAGCTATCCCTTACTAGAGGTTAAGCCTATAGGCCCTAATGTACAGGTAAGTAAGCTCTAAGATACATTTATTATTTATTTAAAATGTACTTTAAGTGTATTATAGGAGGAAGACAATGTATAGCTAGCACTTACTAAGAGCGTTAACCTTATTGTTGCCTGTAAGATAGACAGTAGCTAGATCCTACCTAAATACCCCTATACACATCTAGATAGGTACGCTTATGTACTTAATTACAATAACTCTACTTAGTAGTAAGCTATATTAATGTTAAAGGTACTTACAGTAGCTAATTTTTTAAGGATACTTTAAGAATTTATTACTAATATATTGTTATTATATTAGAGTTACTAATTCTTGTGCTAAGTTGTCTTACTGTTCCGCCTAGTCTACTTACCCTACCTTAGGTGTAATGCCCTCTGTGCTGAATATCAGTGCACAGGATTCTGTGGCTGCGAATACCTACATCTAGACCTATCTAACATGCAATATGAATGGATTTTAGATTTAATGTGGGCTTGTTACGCAGAGCTCTGTACAATTAATAATATATTAGAAACAGATTTAAAGAGGTGTAAATCTATAGTAATTTTCTAGGGGGCATAAACTAGGTTTAACATACATAAAGCCTATAATTTATAGGTAGAGAGCTGTAAGCTTATAATTAAGCAGCTAAGATTTCTAGTAAGCCTACTTTTAGATATATTTCTATAACGCTTTTGTTACATTTAGCACAGGTTTCTAATATATCTAGGACCTAAATAGCAGATTAACTCCCTACTTAGCCTACAAGAACTATTGCGCAGCTTTAGAAGAGTGTAGCAAGCACTTCTATAAGTAGCTTCTGCCTAATACCTTTAATAAGCCTCTTTTAGAAAGGTTAGTGCGTAGTGTTAAGGTACCTTAAGAGGCACCTAAATACTATAGTGTTGTTAAGCTAAGCATCTTAAAGCGCTAAATGTGCAGTAAGTCTATTTAAAGAACAGCTATATATCTATTCTAAATTAACTTTTAATGTATCTAGGTATTAACTATCTACAAGGCTAAGGAAACATAGTCTAATATAACAGCTGTGCCCTTTGTTTCTACTTTATTGTCTTTAATAACTAGATTAACAAGCTAATTACAATATTTGTTTTATTTAAGACACATATTAGTTGCCCTCCTCCTTCTAGTTGTGCTCTAGAGGATGTTGTTAATTATTTAGTTAGAGTAATAGCTAACTACGTTACACCTAACATAATGCTTAGTAAGTAAAAACATTCTATATATATTTAAAATGTATTTAGAACTAAACCTACTGCTACAGCCTAGTTCTTGTAGAGCCTAATGCTTTATTAATTCTGTAATAACTACTATGCAGCTACCCTTCTTTAGATTTACTAGTCTTTTGTAAATAAAGATTAAATTAGGCGTCTTCTATACTAAGAACGCCTACTTGCCTATCCCTAAGGCAAGACCACCTGTGGTGTACTAGCTAAGTATTATTAGCAGCGTTTCTTGCTAGTAGAAGAGGTAAGTATATTTTATAAATACATTTAAAATGCATTTCTAATATATCTAGCGCTATATCTAAAGCTACTATAATAATACTAATAGGGTTATAATTATCTGTTGCTATAAGCAGCAGATTAAGCTTTTACTCTAATAGAAGTCCTTTAAGATTAATATGTTTTTTAAACATATTTATAACACCGCCTTTAATAAGATTATTGCTGTATTATAAAGTAAGAAGTATAAGAAGAGTAAGTTACAGATTTATATACATTCTAGATATATTGTTAATGTATCTAGATGTTCTATATTTTTATATTATTACTAATAGCGCTAGGCGTGTTACTTATTAGTGTATAATAGCGCGTATTAATAAGCTTGTCTTTAAGATAACAAATAAACAACTCTACTTCTAATACTTACATAGCAAAGGCTTAATAGCCTTAGTTGCTAATATAGATAGAAAGCAACTAGCTAGTAAGTAGATATAAAATGCATTCTGTATTATGCTAAAACTAATAAGAATAGATACTAATTATATGCAAGTATTGCGCATTAGCTTTAGTCTATTAATCTGTACAGCTGTAATTAGAGGTGGCAAGTAAGGCAACTTTTTATCTTCTGCTGCGTCTACTTTAGGCGTAGTATTAAGAGAGCTGCTAGGCCTAGATAGACTTGCTACTTTATTTATACCTAAATAGTTACTATACTAGAGGCATTAGCTACTAAATATTACTAGATCCTAGATCTACTAATTAGTATGTTTTAAGAATTTATTTATTATGCATTTTATAATGTTGCTAATTATATCCTAGAGAATAAATGCAATTTAATCTAGCAGTAGGCCTACTATAAAAAACACTTTATAATTGCTGCTAGATTAAATCTAAATCTTTCTAATATTCCTACTTCTAACTTCCTTTAACAACGCCTGCACACTAATAGCGTTAAGCAGACAGCAAATGCGTTCTATGCTTATAGAACCTAGCAGCATCTTCTGCCTACAGTTTTTAGGTATGTTCTACTTGTTATTACATTCTAATTTAATTTAAAATACATACTAATTACATTCTAATTAGGGCCTAGTCTATAGATTAACATATTATAGAGAAGTGTACTGCCTAGGACAAAGGTGTATCCCACACCTACTGTAATTGCTTAATAAATAAGCAGTATAAGGAGCATATGCTTTGTAAAAGTAAGCAAGCTTTTAAAATGTATTTAAAATTAATTCTTAATACATTCTAAAGTGTGTTGCAGCGTAAGGGATTATAAAAATAAAAGAAATTAATCTTACAAAGGAAAGTAAAGACTAGGTGCTGTTTACTGCTACCTTAAGCAGTAATATACCTAGTAGTGCTTGCTGTAGTTAGCTAGCTAAATAAAGCTTTTAGGCACTAATTAAGTCTTATAGAGTGTTTGTCTTGTCTGCTAAGTTGCTGTCTTGCGTTCTAAAATTAACAAGGTATGTTTAGATACATATTAGATACATATTAGATACATTGCTTACCTACTCTAAATCTACCCTATCTCTATGTGTCCCTTCTCTAGAGAAGCAGTAGAATACAACTAAATTACATTCTAAATGCATTACTAACCCTATTACTAGCTTAACTAGTTTACCTTTAAAGCTACACCACATCCTATTACAAGGGTCACTTCTAAGGCTACTAACTGTAGTAGATAAATAGGATATACAGCAGTTTAAGCTTAAAAAACACTAAATAGAGCTCCTAGCTCTTAAGATCTAATACAAGAAGCGTTATCTAGCAATAAGCTTAGCTATAAAGGACTTAGATGTAGATAACAAAAGTAGATATAAGTAGCTAGATAGATTATAAACGCATCTATAATATATTCTTAATTATGTTTAGCATTATAATATACACCTACGCTTTCTATTTTATACCTATTAGTATTATTCTTAACATAATTATTATTAGATTTAAAGATAAAGTAGTTAAGTAGACATTAACTATACAAATAACTACTTTTAGGACCTTTAAAAAATACTTTTAAGACATTAAGTAATATAAATTAGTTTTAATATTATATTAATTTTAGCCTTTAAGTAGTTTACTTTTTAAACATTAAAAACAAAGTATTATATTTAAATTGCTTTTTAGGTTAGAGAAAGCTATTAGCTTTAGAATTATATTTTAATAAAACGCCTAAGTTAATGTAGGGGTATTGTATCTGTAATAAATCTACCTCTTGTAAAAGCAGCCTTAGCTGCTTAAAAAATCCTCTAGATTATATCTAAATAAAATCTTTATCTTTAAAAAGTAGCTTAAGCTGCTTAAAAAAGAAACTCTAAGTAATGTATCTAAATTAAATTTCTATAGCTCCTTTTATGTATATCTAGTAATTGTATCTAGAACTACTCCTTATCTGCTTAAATGTGCCTACGCAGGATACCCTTATGAGTTAGGCCTGTATACTAGTTAGCGGGTACATCCTACTTAGGGAAGTAGTTACAGCTAGCACAGGCCCTATTAAAAGTGCATTCTAGATATAATTAGAATACATAACCTAAAATTTAGGGAATTATATCTTAAATAGAAAACACTTACGCTTATAAGCCCTACGCGTGTTAGTCACCTTGCCACAGTTTACGCACAGAGATTTGTAACTATTATTATAGACAGAAATAATGCAAAGTAGGGCTAAGATATTAGGTAACTAGGATATAATTAGTATTTAAACTTAAGTAATGTATCTAGAATATATCTACATACTTTAAAGGTTTTACCTAGAATTATAGGCATCTTTACACCTTTAGCAACGTAGATTGTGAACAGGTTGTTAGAAGACTAAGACTTTTAGATATATTTTATATATAATATCTAAATAATACTTACTTTAGAATTGTTATAGCAAATAACACAGCTAACTTTGTAGTTAAACACCTAAAAAGGTAAGTGTAAATACATTTAAAATATAAATCTAAAAATTATATCTAGAACTAACTTACTTTACTATCTTTAACCTTTATGTCTTTATTTAGATTATAGTTATTGTCCTCTAAGTTAACCTTTCTTTTATGCTAGATATAATTAAAATATAATTTAAAGAATGTATCTAAAAAGTATCTTACCTTAGTTATACTACTTTTAGCTGCCTTAACTACCTTCTTCTTAGCAGCAACTTGCTTCTTCTTTACGCAGGCATCTATATAGATCTCTTTCTAAGTTTTTAGCAGCTAGATATAATTAGTGCTATTCTAGTAATGTATCTTATAAGTAGCAAAACGTACAGGATCTTAACGCAAAGCAAGCCTAGCATTCTTGTTACTATTCTTTGCTGCCTGTTAAATAGTCTCTATAATTGCCTTATACATATCTAGATATAATTAGAATGCATAACTAAAATTTAAGAATTATATCTAAAATGTATACCTTTAATAATCTAAAGTTTAGCTACTTTCTTCTGTCCTTTAGCTTAATTTCTAATAATTAGCAGGGCATGTGCTTTGCAAACATGCTTAGGTAGACTAGAATAACTAGAGATAAAGTGCTAAATATAATTAAAATACATTACTTAAGGTAAGAATTATATCTAGAGTTAATTCTTACTTACCCTATAATTGTTAACCTAGCACTAACACTTAGCATATAGAGAATTAAAGCTTTAGATAACTTAAGTAGCTACACTACTTTTCTTACTTTTAATAAAGAGTTGCATCTCTTTATTCTAAACACTATTCTAGATAATATTAAGTATAAACTTAAATTAAAGAATTGTATTCTAAATGTACTTATATGTACTGTCTTTTGCACCTAATCTAGAACACAACGCAGCAAATAATAGAGTGTACAATAATTAATGTAGAATTGCTGCAGATACAATTAGGATACAATATCTAGGCTCTTACTTTTTAGTAGGGCGCTACCTAAAAGTGAGTGAGCTAAATAATAAGAGGAATAGGACTTACGCAAGTACTTAGGCTGCTGTAGGGGTTTAAGGATTCTATTTAGATAGAAATAGCGCTTAATTTAGAGAGTTTTTAGAGAGTTTTAAGGCTGCGACCTGACGTAGTGGTGGGTGCTGTTTGGAGGAAGTTTTCCCGTGTCGCGCGAGCTTTTGGATACATTGGCCGAAATTTAGCCGACAAGCGAGATTTTAGCGTGTATGACCGAGCTGCAACCTCGCTGCGATCGATTGATAGTAGTCCTGCGTATCGACAACTTTGGCTGTGCCTCAACACCATAGTAGAGACGCGGATCCGACGACAAGCCTAGTAGTCAGCTCTAATCGGTGGCCATCCGATCAGCTTCAAACGAAGTGTATCCCATCTAGGCTTGCTCTTTTTCGTGAGTTCCATAAGTAGTGCTCTAATCAATATAGAAATGAAATGTTTCTCTTCTCTTGGCCTAGTCATATGTAACAGGGACCATATGTAACAGGGGCATCGGATGACCCTAAGGGTGCCCTGGGAGATGGTCATGGTGGGCAGATACAGCACCACCACGACAAGGAATAGGCGCCTGCGAAACATCACCGAAACGCTGGCGCAACAAAGGTCGCCTTAGATAAGAGACTCCCTCCGTAGACAGAGGGCAGAGTTCAGTCTTGACGCTCCCTCGGTGATTGCTACGCTGCTATTACATTCCCTTTTTTACATCATACTTGATTTCCATTAAAGACAGGCGCGTATGGCATCTGCCTTCCAATAGCCTCGATGATCACAGCTATTCTTCGATGTCTGGATCACCAGGAGACTTGTTGGCATTCATCTCAGCCACAAATTTCCTCCATAGTCTAGGCCTAACATGGACCTTAAGCCATTTTACATCCTCCGGATGCTCCCTCATGTAATCCATTTCAGAAACCAGAAGATTTTCCTCATAAGAAAGTCTTGATTTTACAAGCTTAGGTATCGGAAGTTCTGGCTTCTCACGTTTCGATGGCTGCCAAGTAAAAGGAACATCTTCTTTAAGCTTAGCCTGGATCTCTTGGTCCCTTGCTAGTTGTGGTAGTGGTTTTCTATGCGGCTAGTGTTAGCTTAACAGGGTTATCGGCTTGAACAGAGTCTTACAGAGTCTCTCCCGTCCACTCATAGAACAGAACAGGCACATCATCATCATTCTGAGATTCACCATAATCTACTAGGAAGAAGCAACGTCGGTTGTTAAAGGCAAATTGACAATTGTACGACGCCCAGCGGAATTTCGGAACACTGAAATCACAGTTCCAGTGGTGCTGGCATATACGGTTCAATATTGAAAACGTTCGCTCAAAACTGTCATTTCCTGGGACCAAGTGGGTTAAGGTTTGGACCAGTATCCGGACTGGTGGCTCCGGGGACCTTTCAGTCTTGCTTGCCGTTTCCATTGTGATGAGGACCGTGCTTCGTACTGTAAGTAGCAGTGTCAGGAACCAAGCTGAGGGTTGTGACAAATAAGAAGAAATTAGGACCCTGGGGTGACAATAGGACTGTACAAAATGCCACACAGTGGCTATCCGGCGATGATGGTGGTGGGAGAGAGAGAGAGAGAACATACGCCACCTAGGTGCCCGCTAAGGCCTGCAAGCTGAGCTAAGTACAGATAATCTATTGTGTGCGTTAATCCGTGCAATGTCTTGGCATTCACGTCGCGTCTTTTCTGCCTCACTAAATCTATAAGAACTTTAATAAAGCAACAATTTGCCCCTATCTATGCCTAAATATCTGTTATTTTAGTTAGATCTTAAAGCTGTATGTACTTCCTAATTAAGAAATAATAAAGCTAAATTTTAAAAGTTTAAAATAGCCCTTAGTAAATAATTTCTAGCTAAAAAGCTATAGCTAGAGCAGCCACGCGTTTAAGTACTAGTGCTACCTGTTAACTGTTAACTAGAGCCCTTGCTGCAGCAGCCTCTAAAGCACTTTTTAGAGGTTAAAAAGCTAGTAGATTAAATAAGCAGACAAGGAGAAAAGTTACCTTTATAAATAAGCAGCGCGCTGCTGCTCTAACAGCTGCTATTAAAATACTATTATTACTACTATTAGTAGTAGAGCTAAAGTGTTAACTATTACCTTAGCAGCAATTATCCCCACCTTCTAAAGAGCCTAACTATAAGATAGATATAAAGTATATTCTGTGCGTAAATAAGAACTAGGTAGTTAATAACAGTAATAACTACTAGCAGCTAGTCTTCTCTATGTTGTTTATAAAAGATAAAGTAAACTTAGTGCTTACTAATGCAGCTTTTATAATTAATAAGTAAAAAGTTACTTAGCTTAGTTACTTAGTAAGCTATTAAGCTAAGCACTTTAAATCTACTTAGTAGCATATTACTTTAGCTAACTTTAGTTTTATAGAGGGCACTTACTTACTTAAAGTAGTTAATTACTATGTTAAGCGCTTTACTAAGAAAATTAATAAAGTAAATTTTAAAGTAAAGCTTTATGTTAAAGTTAAAGCTTTATAAAGGGCATTTTTATGTAAGTAATTAGCTAATAAGCTATTATTAGATCTAAATACTACACTAATAATACTAAGTAGCTGTTATACCTAGCAGCTGCTGCGTAAAGCTAGGACAGTAGAGTAAGTAAAGAAGATATCTAAAGTAATAGACTACTACTTAGCAATTACACATACATAGAAGTGCTAGACAGAGCTTTATAATAACTATAAGAAGTAGTGCTATATCTACCTAGACTAATCTTACTATGCTATTAAACTAGTTAACTTTAAAGCATAAAGAAGGTCTATAGTTATAGAAAAGTCTTCTGTTATAGTACCTAGTTATTAGATTATTAGAGCGCTATAGTAAAAAAGTAATAAGCTTTAGGTAAACCTTTACATATAAAAAAATAAAAATAAAAAGCTAAGCTTATTATTATTATTAAATAAGCTATTATTTAAGAAGCTAGTAAAGTAAATAAGCTAGTAGTAGTTACTTAACTAAATAGTAAGGATAAGTAATAAAAAAGCTACTTAAGTAAAGTAATAAAAGTTTTAATAGCTTTATCTCTAACAGCTTTAAGCGCAGGCTAGTATCTTTTTTATAGAAGCTGCTCTACTCTTTTACTACTAGTAGCTACATGCCTTACTAGTTATTACCTTAATAGCGCCTTAATTTTTAGGTTATTCTTTAAGTCTTATAATAAAAAGTAGTAAATAAAATACTTAAAAAATAGTAAAAAACTTTTTTAAGTAGTTAGTTAAGTAATAGCTAAAGAATAAAAAAAATCTTTACTTTTACATGTAAAAGGTAGCAACTAAAGAGCTATAGACTATAAAAGATCTCTATAAGATAAGTAGAGTTAAAGGTAACCTATATACTATTACTGTTACCTAGTTTAGGCTTAAAAATAGGCTTATTTACTATCTTTATAAAGATCTTTATTAGTTTAAGCTAATATATTATATAGCTAGCAGCCTGCTTAAGATAGGTAGTAGTAAGTAAGGTAGAACTAGTAGTAAAAATAATATAGCTAAATAATCTATTTAAATTTAAACTTTTTTACCTTTTTAAGCTTTTTTAGCTCTCTCCTTACACGCTCTAGCTCCTCCTGCTTAATATATAGCCCTTTTACTGTGTACTTAAAGTGCTTTTAAGTAAAATAGTTATATTTACTTTTTTAAATAGCTACCTTTAAAAAAGCACTAAAGTTACTACTAAAACACTTTTAAATATATAAATAGTTTTTTTTAATCTACACTTTAAGCACTATAAAAGTAAGCTTTATTAGATTATAGTTAGGCAAGTATAAAAGCAGATACCTTACTAAATACCTACTAGCCTTAATAATTTATGTTACTTTATTATTTATATAAATTATAATATTATCTAGAATAATTACTAGGTGCTTCTTACTATACATAACTTAAAGTATAAAAATTAGACTCTTTTTAATTTACTTAAAAAACTGCTTTTAATTAAAGTAGCCTTTTTTTACAGCTGTATAAAAAAGATAGCTGTTAATTATATACATAAAAAAAATTAACTAAGTACTGCCTTAAGTAATATCTTAAGTATACTAAAAGACATAGCTAACTAGGCTATACACGTAGTGCTGCTAGCTAGTCTTTTTATTAAAAATTAACTTATTAAGAAATACTAGATCCTCTACTATAAAGTGTTTTATTAAGTTATAATATAAGTTATAAAGTTCTTTATTTTAATTAATAAAGAATGCTTAAAGTGTTTAGTAACTTAATTTATATTAAAAAAAAAACTAAGATATATTTAAGTAATTAATTTAAATGCTTTTTTTTACTTATAACTAGAGTGTAATCTTATTCTAGTATATTTACTTAAAGTAAATAAGCTTACTAAAAAAAGCATCTACATCTTTTTTACTAATTGCTAGTAGATAACTAAGCCTGCTTTAGATAGATGCTCTTACGCTGCTGTGCGTCTTTAAATTATCTATTATATTATATACTGCGCAGTTACTGCACCTTTTTTAATTAATAATTACTTATAGCTTTTATTTAAGTAGTAAAAAACAATATATATTAATACACATATAATTAGATAGGCTACAGGCGCTCACAGTAAGCGCTAGGGGTTGCTAAGTAGGTAGTAGGCAATAAGAGACTTTATAAGCTTAAAACATAGCTAGAAAGCTATTTTAAACATTAAAACCTAGACTTATTATTTCCTAAATAGGAAGTATGTATAGCGCCTAAATGTTTACTAAAATTAAAAGATGTTAGGTAGTTGTAGGGTTTTATAGGTAAAATTTTAAGTTCTTATACAAATTTAGTGGCAGAAAGCAAAGTTTAAGGTGTTGCCAAGACATTGCACAGATTAACGCACACAATAGATTACAACCTCCGTTCCCGGCGCGCCAAGAGCGCGTCCCTTTTCATTTAAGATTTCCATTTTCCCAGCCTATCCTTACTACAACTTTATTCTGAACTTAAATTCTAGTCTTATGTTTCTAATTTCCCTCTCTAGCAGCTTCTTTGTTCTAATCTAGCACCTTTAGTGTTTAAGAGCCTTTTCCTAATGGCTGACTGTTAGCTTAACAGCTAGTCTAATCCACTACCTTTAAATATGATTTTAAGAATTTAGGTCGCTATCTACGTACTCTCCGAAAGGTGAACCTTAGCTGGCTCGCTCTCCTTAGAAGTACGATAGATCTTTCCACCTTGACCCAGCTACCTCTCTCGGTTTCCGCCGTTGTGCCTCCCATCGTGGGCCTTCAAATATGAAGTGCCTTACAGTGTCGCTCGTTCTTCCATCGCATTCGCATGTGTCCGAGTCTGTCACTCCTAACTTTTCGAGAGAATAATTGAGACGGCTTCTTCCCGTTTGCAGTTGGCAGAGCGTCGCCTCTTCGCGATGCTTCCGCTTGTTGTAGGGAAGCTTCGTGTGGTTTCCTTCAACATGCCTTTCTTTGGTTATGTTGAGTTGAATCTGCACTTTGCTGATCCTCTTCTAGGGCTTTGCTATTAACAACTCTTCTACCTCTATAGACTCTGACGAAAGTCCGTCTGCGGCTTTCTTTGCTAGCTTGCTGGCTATTTCATCGCTTGTTACCCTCGCTCGGGCAGGAATCTATTGGAAGCGTATTTTTAGTCCTATTCAGACCCACATACCCGTTTTTCTCGCTTGACGCACGGGCTCACCTGGCGCACACTTTGCTCAGGAACACTAAAATTGTCACATAATACTAACTCTACTAATATAGACCTAATTTTAGAAGCGCTTGCAGCGTTAGAATCCCTAAAGTTTAGAAAAAAAGTTAATATTACTTAAGTAATAAAAAAATATAGTGTTAAATAATTAACACTATTACAAAGGTAGCATAGGGTCTAGGGCTCCTATATAGAGTAATATAAGAATTAACAACTTTTAAACAACTGTTAAAAGAGAGAGCTCTTAGAATACATTAAAAGACTATGTAAGTAAGGGCTACACTTTATAAAGAACATGCTACGCAACTTTACTACTAAAATAAGCAGTAAATAGGTAGGGAGCTTGTAGCTAAACTAGTTCTTTAAGTGTTACTAAGTTAACCTAGTATTAAAGTAGACTACTAGCATTAATAAGAGAAAAAGAGCTAATTCTGCCTTTAAATACGCACTATATTTTAATCTTCTAAAGTATAAAATTAAATAATATAATATCTAGCTAAAAGACATGTATAATATAAATAAAAAAGGCTTTTTAATTAAAGTGCTTTTAAAGATAAAGTAAATCTTCTTTTAGCAGAAGTATAAAGAGAGTAGGATTAAGTAGATAGTTTAGGACAGCAACTATAAGTAGATAACAATAATTACTTATATATACACTAACAGATCCTCTCTCTTTTTAGGCCTTATCTACTAGGTAGTTACAGGTAACATTTAAGACTTATAGCTTTAGAACTTTAATTCTAAGATACATAAAGCTTTTTTTACTTTATTTTTAAGTAAATAGACTAATAATAACTTTAAGCTTTTGTCACGATTGTGCACGAGTAAGGTTATAGAGCTTCACGGAGGTCTAGTTTAATTACTACGTGAGGTATTATAGTAGGTACAAGACGTTGTGTAAGGAACAGAAAGGTTTAGAAGGAAATTAGTAATTAAATACTTAGCTTAAAAGTCTAAGCACTTTAAGTATAAATTAAGCCTGTTCTAGGTTTAGTTAGTGTTAAAGTAGTTTATGCTTAAGTTTATGTCTATGTTATGTTATATTTATGTTAGACGTGCACTAATAATACTCTAGTACACGTCTAATATAGTTATGTCTAGGATCTAGGGAGGATACTGTGACAGTACCCCCCCTTTTATTAGAAAGGGAATCCTTTACATTAGTAGTTCTAGCATTAAGTTGTTTTTATTAGAGTATAGGTTTAGTTTAGATAAGTATTAGGCGTAAAATTAGGTTACTGTAGAGTTCTTTTATAAAGCTTTTATAGGTTCCTATAACAGTTTATTATATCTAGTTTATTTTATAAGGTATTTATAAATATGTTTTTTTTTGTTAAACTAGATTTATTTAATATCTTCTATAACATATTCTAGTTTATTATTTATAATAACAGGTTTAAGTAGCAAGTTTAGCTGTTTAAGTAGATAGTTAGATTTAGAGGCTACTTAGCGCAGCAATAATACGTGGAACACAGGGTGTATCTTTATGCTGTTAGGTAGGATTAATTAGTAAGCATACAATAAAACTATATAAGCTACTATAAAGAGGCTAAGGTTCTTCTAATTAAGTTTCTTTAATTATTAGTTTATTTAGATATTTCTAGCGTCTAGCTAGACCTTCTTGCCAGCTGCATACACAAGGGCAGAGGTTTAAAATTAGTTTATGTACTCTTGTTAAAAAGCTTAAGCCTATATAAGCTTTTTATAAACATATTTAGATATATTTTAGATCTTATTAATAAGTCTGTTTATGTCTATTACTTATATAGATTAATAAGTTAGTTAAGGGGTATTTAAAAGTAGTTTAAATTTTATTTAAGAGTAGTATTTATAGTTTGCTAAGAACAGAGATACTTATGTTAATTTAGATGTTATGTTATTAGCTTTAAACTAACATGGAACACAAGCGAGTTAGTAACATAAGCGAGTTAGTAGCCTCACTAACTTTGCGCAACGCGTTAACCATTAACTACTATAGCTTAACTAACCACTTCTTAATTATGTTTAAATAAAGCAGGTATTGTCCTTACTATCTAAGCCCTTAATTGCGCGCAAATTAAAAGCGTAAATTGTGCTGCAGCCACGTTTAACATGCCCTAATTAACCCTAAACAACTAACGCGCTAGTTAACCCGCACAACGCAATTACTAGCCTAACTTAAAGAAGCTTACTAAGCTAGAGGAGGAGTTAATTATTAGACATATACTTAACCTTAATTTACAAAGATTCTCGCCTAGCCTAAACGCTGTGTGAGTTATGGCTAACAATCTGCTTACTACACGCAGTGCTTAGCTAGTAGGAAAGAACTAGCTGCTAAACTTTATTAAGCATACAGATAGCCTCACTATGTGTTTTAATTAACTGTATAACTAGCAGCGAGCTCTATGCGAGGATCCTAGGATAATACAGACCTAGTTTGAGCTTGTACAGCGTACACAGGCTACCTATAGGATCTTAGACAAGGATACCTTTAACTTTAACAAAGCTGGCTTTATAATAGGCTAGATAATGTTTTAAATAGTTGTTACTAGCTTAGAGAGATATTGTTAGCCTAAGGCAGTATAACTAGGCAATTATAAGTAGGTTACAGTTATTTAGGGAATTAATGCTACAAGGTGGGCTATCCTACTATACATTATCTTTAAGGCCTAGTACTACCTATCTGCCTAGTATAAGGATTAGGATATCCTAGGCGACTAGAAGATTAGTGTGAGTAAGAATAGATAGACTAACAACAATCTTAGAGTTGCCTAGCTAAGGCACTTTATTAAGCATACTAAGAATAAGATAGTAGGCGCGTGCTAACTTTTAGTCTTAAATAGTTATGCAAGCTATTACTTAGCTGCGTTTAAAGACCTCTGTAGAGAGAATAATATCTATACGCTCTATATGCCTCTACATTTATTACATCTCCTTTAGCTGCTTAATGTTAGCTGCTTCTCACTATTAAAGTGTGCGTATAAGGATAAGATTAACAGCTTAGTCTGCTGCTACATAAAGCATATTACTAAGCTTAAATTCCTGCCTTCCTTTAAGGCAGCTTTTAAGAAGGCCTTTACACTAGAGAATATTTGCGCAAGTTTTAGAGGTGTAGGGCTAGTCCTGCTTACGCTAGAAGCAGTACTATTAAAGCTTAATGTAGTTGTTTGTACGCCTTCACTACTACTACTACCTTAACTAGAGGCTCTCTAGGTGTCGCAAACACTAAGTAACGCACATAAACTTAAGGCGCAGTTAACTCTACTCTATACAAGGATTTAACAGCATTAAAACTTATCCCTTACATAGATGCTTTAGTTGCTAGATTGTCTTACTAAAGGCGCTAGAATAGTAATGCATTTAGCTCTACTGCTGCGTAATTAGGTCTCTGCCCTTTAGAAAGCTAATAAGGCTGCAACAAAGCAAAGGGCGCGTAAAAAAAGGCAGATCTAAAGGCACAGGGATATAATAATTAAAGAAGGTGCAGATATAGTTGCTTAAAAAGACGCGCAGCAGCTAGCAGAGCAGAGTAGGCAGCAGGATGCATTAGCATTAGGGCAAAGTTAACAGGCTCTTGCGCGCTGTAGTCGCTGCAGGGAGCCTAGTTATAATTCTTGCACATGTAAAAAGGATACTGTAAACACTACTTTATCTTAGATACCTACATTTTTATAGTATTTTAATGTGTTGTTAAGTTGCGTTGTTTTAAAGGTGGAGAAAGTTAGTAAGGCTACTAACTTGCTTATGTTACCAACTCGCTTGTGTTCTATGTTATGCTATAGCTAACTATTTTACTTAGTTATCTTACTAGTAGTTTGTGTATACTTATAAGACTTATTTTATTACAGTGTTTATGTTCTTAGTCTAGCTGTTAGTCTCTAGGTAAAAAGCTGTAGATAAATAGGGGACAATTTAGAGCTGTTTATAGAGTTTGTTTTAGAAGGCTAAGACAAACTGCGTACCTCTATCTAATATAATTATGTTAGGCAGGCTATAGTAAACTTATACGTATTAGTAGAATAACTAGGCTATATTAAGGGCAGTTATAAAGGAACATAGTATTAAGTGTTAATACTTAGTTAAGTAATTAACAACTACTATAATATTTATATACCCTTTAAATAGAGGTAGGTTTATAATAAAATTAATTAATATGTCTTTTTAAGCTTGTTTAGAGATTAGAAGCAGTTTAAGTAGGCTATTATACTTTTTTTAAGAGGCCTTTACTTTACAGCAAGTATAGCAACATAATACGTATTAGTGTACAGTATAGAACATGCGGGGCTAGTAGTACTCTCTCTATAGTAGGTTAAGAGTCTTTCCTTTGCCTAGGTGTTCTCTAACAGGCAAGTTATGTATAATTTAGAGTAGTTTAATTCTTAGTTTATTAAAATTAAAGATTATAAGTTAGTTATAGTAATATAGCATACTATTTTAGTTTTTATAGTTAGCTAGTGTTACTTTCTTTAACTAACTAGCGCTGTTTTAGAGCAGGTCTAAGGTTTTTTAGATAAATTTATTATTTAGATACTTATTAGTAATAATTTAATTAATTATCTAATTTATTTTATTTAAGTTAAAGTCTAAAAATAGCTTAAGTTAAAGTAGAGTTTAGTGTTAAGCCTTTTACACTTCTTTTTAAGTAGGGATGTTTTAGAATTACTTTATAAAGGCATCTAGTTTCCCTCTATCTTAACTAAAATAATAAGTAATCTTAAAATTAAAATAAGATAAGTATTTAAACTAATAGGCTTATTAGTAGCT